ATTAAGTTTTGTTTTCTTGAGAAATGTTCAGTTGCTTTAGCCTGCATTACCTTTTATAGGCTTCATTCAGGGAAATGGGTTGACTGTAAGGAGTAAGTAATCATTGAGCAAATTAAAATACCTTGTAATTTCTCTGAAAACAAGGAATTATCTTGTTTTTTTAAATATTTTCTTATGGTTGAAATAATTCCTACTAAAYTCATTTTTGTCCTAGTGAAGTTGGGTTGCTGAAATTTCATTGGAAAAAGAGGAGATCAAAGAATAGTGCGCCAATCATACCTTTTTTCTACTTTCTGCACCAATTACAAACAACAATGTCCATAGGCCTCTTAATTGCTTTGTGGGTAATCTGTAAAACCACTATGTTTACTTAAATTAGGGRCCTGATTCTCAGTCATCCTGCTACTATTCTGTGTTCCTCTAGCTGTGTAGAATTTTGCCAGAATCAGTGGAAATACAATATCATGCTATTTCATGCAATTAATGTTACCTCAAGCAACTTCAGGAAAAGAGGAGCCCTCTCTAAGCCTTTTCACTGAATCCTTCCACTGAGAATTAAATTCTGCTGTCCGTTTTATTGATGTAGAAACTGATCCTGGGTATACTGGGTGCCTATGAATAATTTTTAACAGATGAATTAGGAAGAAATTGCAGATGATTTATGTACAAAAAAAAGCTAAGTCTATTCAAGAAGTTGTTTGTTGCCAGTTAATTACCTGCTGCTGATTAAAATAATAAATTTGAGTGTCATCATGAGACCTGACAAGGACTTTCACCCTTAGGCTTATCTGGAAGTTGTACTAAATGTTATCTGTAAGTCTTGTTATAAATCTATTATAATGGGAGCAAATGGATAAAAAGACTAAGAAGCCTTTCAGCCATAATTCTGCTGAGCAGAACTCTTTATGAAGCAGAACACTTTATAAATAAGATGGGCRCTGGAGTTATTCACGTGGATTGATCAGTTCAGATTTCCACACAGTGTTATAAAACATGAGATTTTTGCACTTAGTGAAATCTAGTGTTCAAATGAAGGCATAACTCTTTTTCATTGCTAACATTTGCTATTTGTATGAGCTGCTGGTTAAATTGATGTAGAGAACTCCAAGCTGGATAAATTTTGAAAGAGATCTAGTGATCCTTAGGTCTACCCTGGGAGGATGAAGTTTGTCTGCCATGTGTTACGTAGTGCACAGATGTCTATATGGAACAGCATCTTGTGCATCTGTTAAGGCTATATGCTTTTATACATGCTTTTGGTTTCAGCTGGTGATACCAAATGACTTTGTCAATATGCAACAATTCATAGGAGATTCTGCTTTTGGCAGGCAAAGCAGACAGTATTCAAATTGCTGGTTACTCAAGTTCAAATGAAATGCTGTTGAAAACTTCATGAAATATTTGACAACCTCAATTAAAATTAAATGACTTTAAAGAAATATTGAAGACTTGCTTTTGAATTTTTATTTTGTGCTGAATTATTTTTACTGCAGTTTTTACGTGAAATGTTGCCTTTACAGTGTAAAGTCTAGATACATTGCATTTGCTTTTGTCAATATGCCACGAAATACTAAATTCAAAAATTCTGACTGGTGAGGGATTATTATGTATATACCCGGCCAGTTACGCCACTACTGTTACTCCATTAAACAGCACTCCAGTCACACAGTAAAGCCCTATATGGTCATATCAATGTTGCTCAATATAGTTGCTAACTTCCTGGAAAATAGTTACAATAGCAGGATAACAGATCACACAGCTGATGCAAAATTATTCAGAATAATTCAAAATAAAACAGCCACAAAAAGTCATTGAAATATCTCTTAAAGATAAAATACTGGGTGAAACTGAATGTCAATGAACATAAAGTAGTACAAGGGAGGAGGAGATGGGAGCTGAAGATAAGAGTCTCTTTAATCATATATATATATATATATATATATATAAAAAAATAGAGAGAGGAAGGGAGAGAGAGAAAATGATGGATTCTAGATTATATATTAGCACTCATTTGACATCTGAAAACCAAGTGAAAGAGGAATGTGATTTGGGAAATCCTTTTAAAAATAGGGACAGTAGGGAAAGTAATGCAGATGTATAAATTCATAGCATGCCTGAATTTTTCATATTGTGAACTGTTCTTACCCTCTCATCTTAGAAAGACCTAGAAAGAACTTAGAAAGAACTAGACAAGGTTAAAAGAAGGGCACAGGTATCATCAGAGGCGTTACCGCATGAGGACAGACTAATAGATGAAGTTTCTCTAACTTGGAAATGAAATAAGTAAGAGGRTATGACAAAGCAAAAAAGAAAATATATGTGTGATTTCAGTATGTCTTATCCTACTAATGTTAATACCTTCCACCAGCAAGTTGAAAGCAAACGAAAGAAATACTTTCTCATACAAAGCATAAACAGTATGAGACAATACCACTAGTTGTTTTAAAGGAGAGAAGCATAAGTGAGTTCAAAAAGGAATTAATGGCTACTTGTGTTCCATGAATTGTATAAACATCCTGCTCAGACACAATTTCTGGCTTAGGAACTCCCTAAAGTGCTAATTGCTAGAAGATGGAAAGGAGGGGTTGCTCAGCTCTTGCCATGTCTCTTATAATCTTCCCTTATGCATCTGCTAATGGCCATGTTGGGAGCAGGATAATGGGCTAGACAGATTTTTGGTTTGACCCATTATGGCTTTTTTTTATTCTATATCTGTAGTATCTTTTCAGTAATGGGAGGTAAGATGGAAATTTTCAGCTTGTTTTCAGAGTTCAGTAAATACTGTCTGGAGTATGATTTTTAAAAGCTAATTATGAATGCTCGCATTTTTTACTTTGCTTGTTTTAATATATAAAAAATTAATCTGTAGCTTTATCCACCAAATGTTCAGGAAGATTTTTCTCCCCAAGTACAGGGAAATGTGGATGAAGGAGAATCATTTATGTATTTTTCTTGACTAATAATACTTCCCCAGTAAGAGCAATGTCACAGAAGCATTGGCATGGCGAACAGGAGAATTTTCTGCAGTTCTTTTCTTCTGAAAGAGGGAGAATGATATTATTTCTGACACTGCTGTGAGTTACGAGTAGCTGTGAGTTATGTGAAACCGAAGTTTCACATAACAGAACATTCCAAATTGGACAGTTGGACTTCTGTCAATGACTACTGGGAACACAAGCTAACAAGGAGAGTTTCTTTAAAATATCTACTTYTTGTTTTTTAATGCAACTTCATCATCCTTTTTTTCTTATCAGASTGAAAACTACTTTTGGGGATTGAAAACAACATCAGCGATTCTTTGTTTTATCTGACTAACCTTCAATTCTAGGGTTTTTCCATGCAATTCTGTAATGTTAGAATGTTTATTTGTACTTTCTAAAATAGAGATTTGATCAGTTATCACAGAGCACTTTAGAAAAGAAAAATACATTATACTGTGTCAAATGAATTTATTCTGTAAAACATGCGAATTGTGCGTGTCATTATAAATCACGATCTCGGATATCTAAAGTTGTTATTTTTGTTTGAGAAACTTGTTTCAGATTCAAAAAAGCTGCAAGGAGACTATGTATAGCAAATATAGCCCCAATTGGTCATGAAATGTGATTACACAGTATTCAAAGCTGAGTGCAGTAAAGACCTTAAATAACAATAGCTCGTAAAGTTTAAAATTAAACGTAGCTTCATCCAGCATGGTGAAAAAGGGAAATTGGATCAATGAAAGCAGTTTCTTGTATCTTGTGCACTACTGGCTTATCTTAAATGACTTTTGAAGTGAATGTACTCTGTATGTATGAAAAATTTTTTATTTGTTTATGAACTTCAGGAAAATACTCCTTGAATTCAGCTGGTGCKTAGTATATAAGGAAGCACAAGAATTAAAAAGGCCATCTGCCAATCATCTTTAGCTTGGCTAATGCAATTGTAAAATCTATTTTTACAGTAAGGTTTTATAGGACAGCACAGAGCRTTATTACTGTGGTGCAGAATCCAGTAAGTCAGTATCTCATTTAGAAGGAAGGGAAATGTCATACAAACTTGGTGGTATATAGCATTTTGGGGGGGGGGGRAAAAAAAATGAATACAAACTGCTGTACCACATACCCAGGTCAACTGCAGTCAGCTCTGCTGTCCGAGTAGTCATATGATACTGACGGAGGTTTGAGTAAAGTTATAACTAAGCCCAGTTGTGCTTCCTTTCACTGAATTTCTTCATTGTCTTCCACATTCATTTATTTGAACTCTTCTAGTGCTAATTCATCTTTTGTCTCACAAAAGCAAGCCCAGAACAGCCCAGAGATGTGCAACTGCTGTCTTGTTTGCCGTATTTATTAATTGTCACTGCTAAAGGCTGCAAAATGCAGGATTATTACCTGCTACCTTTGTGTTAATATATATTCCATGGGCAATTTATTTTAGCTTGACCAGATCTTTGCAGTAGTGCAAAAAATACAGTTTGCAAATGGATTGTCAAAATCATACAGTGTGTGATGTGAAAGAACAGGGAAGAACTTTGTCAGGAAGATAAGCCAGCTGAAGTTACAATGTTATGATATAGGAGAAACTGATGTTTTTGACAGTATCATTAGGTGCCTTGGTTTGGCTATCAGTGTTGATATAAGGGTATTGCAAAGTAAAATTTTTTTCAATTTAGTAACTAACCAGCAAATAATGCTTAAGAGAAGCTGAGACTACATTCCCATAGTCTGGGGCTGGTTCTGCCAGAGTCTGTCTAAACTGTTCCAGTTTACCTAGTTCTAGTGCCTTCAAATTTTACACAGAAAATTTCATTACATGTGATACGATATAAGTAGGAATTAAAAAAAAAAAAAAACAAGAATCTCTTTGGAATGGGAAACATATTGCTGCATTACTACTGTATGTTATTTGCCCAATCAGTTGCCACTTAGTAGGTGGATGTAGCTTACATAGAGTATTTCTGAAGGCTAGTATAAATTACTTAAGATTTCACCTTATTCTTTGCTCTTTTTATCTTCTAGCATGCACTTAATTCAAGTGGACTCTGTTCAGCGATGGATGGAAGATCTGAAGTTGATGACTGAYTGTGAATGTATGTGTATTCTCCAGTCCAAACCAATCAGCATTGAGAAGGATGAAGAAAATGAATTTGTCCTTTCTTCACAACATAGTACATGTGATAACTTGCAGTTGCTATTAAAAAGAGCTTGGATCATAAGCACAGAGTTTACCAGAATTGCTCAAAAACTGGAGAAGAACAAATGGCAAAGAGTCCACAGCATGACAGTACGTGTCAACTGCCATGTACGTTCAATGATAAATGAACATAATACATTCACCAGGAATTCTTCAGAAGAAATGCACCAGGTAGGGGTGCCCTACTAGACACCATATTTTTATTGTAATAATTGCTGTTTCTTTTAAGCAATCTGTAATAAATATTTGGATACCATTACTAGTGCTTGTCTTTTCTAGAACTTTTTTTGTTGTTGAAACATTTTTTGTCTCAGTTTTGGTCTTTTTTTTATCATATGATTCTGAATGTTGAAAATGATGACAAATTAWGTTGAAAAAAATGGGTTTTAAGGACTGTTTAACTGAAACAATTAGACTTCCCTACCTCTAAGTTCTATTTTTTATTAAGAGGTAGAAAATTGCACTTTTTTTATGTTTGATTTTACTTGTACTCATTGCTTAAAAGGTGGGGAAAAGGCATTCATATAAAATATTACGTTTCTGAAGAGTTTTTTCTATTAAAGCATTTATTTTTATGAACAATCATGTATATGGCATATTACTTTGAAGCCTCTTTCTCTCTCTCTCTGCAGTTTGAAAAACTCTTAATAGACAAATGTTCAGAGTTTACGACAYTCACTGAAAGGTAACTTAAATTTTCTGTCTGAAATATTTGTTTTGCGGGTTTATGTTGCAGAATTTGTAATGAGAAGTGCAAATCCACTGACACTTTCCAATGTTTGAATTGAGCCCCCTGTAGCTCTGAAGAGCTTTCTAAATGTTTAGCCCCTCTGTGGGTGGCATGAGTTGCTTTTATCCTAAAGTACATCCTAACGAAAGATAGGGATCTGTTGTTGCACAAATGGGTTTTGATCTGTGTGTTTGCACAGATGCAAAGCTGTGTGYGAGTAGATTTTTCAGGGCTTTTGGACATCAGGGGAGAAAGTCTGATCTAATGATATCATCGACGAAACTCCTATTGAGCTCTCCAGAGATGAGATTTCAGTGTGTGTGCAAAAACTTACGTTGTCAGTGTGGGGTACTATGTGTTCCTGCATGTATATATGCACGTATTAGTAACTCAAACAGGAATAAATATATATTCCTCTAAATTGTGATCGTAGGTTTACTTAGCTGTATGTGCTTTAGAATGCTTCTTACGTAAGAGACCAGAAAATAAGGTTTTCTTTCAGTTCCTATGTTTTCCACTGACTGACAGAAGTTATTCTCTAGCATAGTTTAATCAACAGTGTGACTTCTTTGTGATTTGGTTCCCCCCCCCCAGGAACCAACAGAGCTTAGAAACTTGTACATGCTCCTTGAGGACATATCGACTTTAATGAGAGCTCTGTTCGGTGTCTGCCCCGATCATTCCTCATTCAAGTGCTCCTTGAGGATTGGTCAATAAGTTGATAAAGGTCATGGGTAAAAGATGGATAGAACTGATAAAGGGAACTACTGTGGTGTAAACTGAGACACCACTCAAGCCAACCAGGCATATCTTCTGTTGTGCATTCTTACATATTCAGTTATGGCTGAGTATCGCTGGTTACAGAATTAGATTAACTCTATAAAGCTGCTCTATATAATCTTTTTGCATAGAAGGCTGAAAAGCTCAARTGTGTGACAGTCAACTTGATAAAACAATTGTTGCTCATGTGCTGCTTCTCCTTTTCAGATGCATACAAATTGAGGATGAGCAGATACAGAAATCCATGAAGTCTTGTATTAATGAAACGCTCTGTACTGTTGCTCAGTATTTTGGCCAGTTGATAGAGCTAATTTTAACACATGAAACACAGGTCAGTGTTTTTTGGTTGTTTGCTTTGGTGTGTTTTTTTGTTTGTTTTTTTAAGGTAAGGAAAAAATATTGAATGTTTTAAATTACATAGTTCTGAAATAAAAGAGCAGTTTTCATATTTAATTCTCCAATATATGAAATATATTTTTTCTCTTCAAAAGTTGTCTCTATGGGTTTATCAGAGTTTTTTTCTGTGTGGATTGAGAGTAGTGATGGTATGGAGCCTTAGAAAAATAGTTTTAAATTCTAGCAATTACAAGGTGGAAATTTTGTATCACCTTGTGTTATACAAGCTCTACCCTAAGAACTTCTAAAAATTTTAGTTTAATTCTAGATCAAAACAAATAACAGCTTATAAGATGAACGCAGAGGTCTTTAAGAGAAAACAGGTATGAGTTTGAAAGTATTCATAAAGATCACTCTTTTTAGGTGTATTCAAATATAATATGATAATGTCTTATCAGAGTCAGACTCCTGCCTGCATTATGTTTTTCCTCTTTTCTTTGGGTGAGAAGTAACATGACGTTGATTTAAAGAAATAGATTTTGCCCTGCATCTYGACTTCAAATACAAGATGGTGTAATTCCCCCCCCCCCACTGGGAGTAACTGATTTGTATTATCTTATGTCACACAGAATCTGCTGAGACAAATAGAATTGTCAGACAATGTGTACATCACCGAGTTGGCTCTTAGTAGTTTATTCAGCCTTACCCAGGAAGGTGGTCATCTGTGCCGTATCATAGCTAAGGTAAGGGTGTATATGCATTAAAGTAAAATTCGCAATAGTAGTGAATTATTTATTTTACTTAGTGCTGATTGTGAGCTTTCAAACTTAAAGTAATTAGATGGAATTCTGTATTGCAGGAGATGGAGGAGGTCAAACAGTTTACTCTGAAAAACTATTCTTTTCTGATTGTAAAAATAAAAATAAAATGAGTATGCACAGTGAGGAGATAAACAGCAGACATTAAGTTTCCTTTCAATTAATGATTCTTCATGATGTTATTTCATAGAATCATTCAGATTTGAACRGACTCAGGAGTCATCAGGTCCAATGTTTTTGAGCTGATGGTGATTTTGTCTGTSCCCATCTTCCCTTTCCCTCTCCCCTTCCGCTTCCCCTTCCCCGTTAGAACCTCTGTTTATTTTTTTTCTTGCCCTTGTGTTGGATGTTGTTGTAAAGGACCTGATTCTGTCTTACTCATGACCTCCCTTCAGACATTGGAAGGCAGTTTTATTTTCCGCACTTCTGCCCCTCCTGCACTCTCCAAAATTCTTGCTTATTGGAGATGAATTGCCTCATCTTGCACTTGCACAATTGTTTATTCAGTTGCCAGAACATAAGCAAAATGGTAAGAAGCTCTGCACAGGTTTTGCTGGCTCGTGTAGTATTGCTAATTCAATAGTTTGTGGATGAGAGATTTAAACTGAAGTTGCATGGGCAAGCAGAGGAACAGGAAGCTTTTAAGTCCTTGTGACATATAGCTGTCCTAAGTCTTTCAAACATGATCAATTGCTAAGCTTAAAATAAAATTTAATTCCTGATTAATATTTTCAGATGTCAGTTTGTGAAGTCTGTTGGCATATACTACTCCATTTTCCCAAAATAAATCTGTTGAATCAGAACTTAAAACCTATTTGTTGGGGACTTGATGTTGGACTGAAAAAGCAGTGAGCCAAGTGTTCAGTGGCCCTATGGTTTAAAACACAAATTCTTYCTGTTAATATCTCAGTTCCTCCGTGGCAGTTATTTTGCACATATGAGAGGGAGGTAGGTGATTATAGTGGCAAAAGATGTGTGAAGCAAAAGATTTGGCTGCAATGTCTTGGTTTCTAGCACAGCTCTGAGTTAAGTCCTTAAATACATCATTAGTAAAGGGTATTTATCTTTGTCAGACTTCTGATCGTCTCCAAAGACTTTTTAGCAAAAATTAAGGGAATAAGTACAACCTGCCTGTCTTTATTACTATTTTTTTTTCTCCCTAGGCCAAATTGTTTCAAAATGCTAATGTAACTTTCTGATATGCCTCAGAAGTTCAAAATGTTGTTCAGACCAAAATACGTATCAGAGGAGTTATACAATTACAATTTCATCATGAAATAAAACATTCCAGACTGCTGAGCAGACCTCAAGATGGGCACATTTGCCCAAGGACTATTTATTTTATATCATTACACAGTAATGGAGGGATGACAGCCTGGTAGAACCGGCAGCACTGTGACTTTCATATTCTTAAACAGCTACATTTTACAGTATGTTTTTAGCTTGAGAATAACATACTTTATTTTTTCTGATGAGTTTGAAAAATACATGGTGATTCTTTATGATATATTGACAGGATTCTGGAATGTTGTGAATTTCTTTGATTTTTTTTCTACGATTTTCYACTGAAAAGAGCAATAAAGTATTTTAATCAATCACTCTTTTTAGTAGTTTTTAGAAATATTTGCTGTCAATGAAAAAGGCTTCAGGGCTTTTAACTTTAAAATTGAAGATGTATGGAAATTATACCCATTAGGATACTATTTAAACGTGAGAGGAACATCAAGAGAAATCATTACTTAATGATTACAGCAGGAATGGAATTAACTTATTGTTGATTGTCTTGAGAGGACATTTGCAAAAGAGATTAAAATAGTGGCAAAATAGATTAAGAAGTATTTTTTAAAATTGTGTTTAATAGGTTAACATTTCAKAATTTGACTGATTTCAGTATAACTCAAACACTCAAACTTTAATATTGAAAGCAGAGAAAAGAGTTTGTTACTGATGAACCTGAAAAAATGTACTCTGTGTTGTACCCTGAATATGATRTAACTGATGTTAGTTCTGCTTTAGTTATCTTTTTGAGACCAATATACAATCTGAATGATCTGGCAAATGATAAACGTAAGTAATTCTGAGGCATGATTCAAAATCCGTTGATACAAATAAGAATATTTCTTGCACAATGAGTGCTAATAGTTTGAGCATTTGAACAGTGTTTCGCTCTCATATTCACTCTCTCTCCTTTGATTCCTTCCCCGTTCTCCTTTCATTCCTTCCATGTTCCAGTTTTGTTTCTTAGCTTGGCTGCAYTTGCTTTTTCTCTTTTAACCTTATATTATAATATTAATAATGTACAATTGAGGTCCTTAAAATACTTGATCTCATTGCTAACAAGACAGTTCATAATATAAAAGGAACAGATCAACTAGTATGTTTCATTCTACATAGGAGCATCTCTACCTAAAAGTASTATTCTGACAGAATGTGGAAACCAGCCAGATAGTATCTAGGTAGAACCTAATTGAGAGCAAAAATACCYATTTCATACAAAATGGAATAAAAGTATTTTTGTGAAGGCAGAGACATGGAAACCACAGAATCAAAGCCCAAGACAATCTCTGAAAGCTGCACTACAGAAGCAACAGAGAATTTCCTTAGTGCTGAGTCTCCAGCCCTCTGCAGAGACAGAATAGTTATGAATAGGTGCAGTCAGATAATTGCCATTTTGCGTCCACAATTGATGAAAATGTTTTATGTACTGAACAAAAGTTAGGCCTTGTTGCATTCGTTTAAAAATGTAACGAATAGCCTTTACTTTTCATCAGTCTTTAGTACTCTCAGTTTTATCAGTCATTTATATTTCTACTGGACTTACATGAATGAAAGATAAACATTCACTTAAAAAGAAACGTAACAAACAATTCTGCATTTAAACATACAAAAAAATCCAGTTTTCTGAAAGGATGAGTGATCCAATTTCCTGAAAGGATGTGGGAATTGAGTACATAGTGCATTTAYAAAAGCTTGTGTGAATTATTTGACTGAGAGGAGATGGAGAGATGTTCTTCCTATTACTTGATTTTTGGCATTTTTTGCAGCCTGCCAGGAAGCAGAAGTATGTCACAGGAATGCTTTTCTTTAGGCTAACAGTGAAAAAAAATTTTGAGATGCAGCATAATGCTTCAGAGTGGCCACTGGCAGGCCTTTCTGTTTGCAAAACTCCCAGGAGACAACTATAGTGTCTCCTGGAACTGGAAAATCTGCTTGTGTGCAGGAGCTCATGTATATAAGAGAAGCAGCTGTCTTGCAGCTCTAGCTAGGTAAAAAGTAAGAGTGTTTTTATAATACACTACCTGATCCTCTACATAAAAAGGACGTGGTAAGTTTATTGCCACAGTCCTTATATTAGAAAGGAGGGCCGAGAGAAAGTCCCAAACACCAAATCTTCAATTTAAATAAAGCTCAGGAGTTCTGCAGGCACATGATAGGCTCCAAAGGCTTCTGGACAGTCCATCAAATCCTAATGCTTTACTACTCTCCTCAGCTCCATTGTGTCATTTGAGAATTTTTCTTGACAGTACTTAATTATGAACCGCTTCAAATAGAGAGAAACAGCACGTCTTAAGCTGTCTGTACAGYTTGATATTATTAAGTACAGTTTGATATTAAAGTCGTAGCTTTAGAGATACCTCGCAACCATCATTTTCCTTTTACAAGAATTGTCAGAATGAACRACATGTAAGAAAAAAGTGTGAACTATGCTTTGTAGTTTATAAGGGCAAATAGTATAGTCATATGATGATCCTTATTTCCATTAAAAAAAAAAAAGGAAAGAAAAGCAGCAGCTGCAGATGATGCAACGTCARGTGAATAACTGACCCTTATTGTTTCAAAGAAACAACTTCTGATAATAAAAATCCTTGCAAAGTCATCTCTTGACCTCCCCCAGTCAGTGTAATGATGATGTCTTTATTCATTAAGATTCCTGTGTTAGCAGAAGCAAAGCTTTTACTGATTGAAGGAGGTCAAGATCAGTCCAT